TAAATTGGACCAATCAGTGTCCGCTATTCATGAAAGTCCAGCAAACTTTTTAGATCAGTGAGGATGACCACCTACGTTGGTCACCCACGCCCGCGATAATTGATGAACTTTAGACTCCGCTAATGCTTTCGTTTCCCCGGGTATAAATAGCCGGGGGGAATTAGTATCCTCGCACGGCGCTTCGCGCCGTCGGCTCGGGGATAAGGAAAAATATGTAAATATTATCTATGAAACTGTACATAGGGGAGAAAAATTAAAAATAAATAAATAATTAAGGGACTCTTTCATTGGTAATATTTCTGTCCTCAGTTCTTCTGGGGTCAAATTCTTTCCTCAATGTTTGATCGAGGCCAAAATTTTGGTCTAAATGTTAAATTTTTAACCTTGCATGCTTAATTTAAATTAAATTTACTTCTTTTTGTGTTCCTTTGTTCCATCCTTGGGGATCACTGGTACAGGCGTGGGATATATATTGCTTGTTGCAAGGATAGTTGATCTTTAATAGAGGACTGCAAGTATATGATTACATGCCTCAGCTGTGCAAGTGCAACATGACATCACAATTTTGCAGTTCTCTTCTCCCGTAACACATATCCAAACTTTATGTGAGTCATCACGAATCCTTTGTAATAGACATACTGAGCTTTACAAAAAATGTCATTCGTCTCGTCAATGGGGGCACTTGGTAAAATGAACTAAGGTGGCTCAATACAGTTTTTAAAAAAATGGAAAATTCACGATTTAGATGCGTATTTTTGGACATTTACATAAAACAACATCTAAAGAGTTTGAATTTTTGGACAAAAGTTACATAACTGCCGTTGCTATGGCAACAATGACCTTTCAAGATGGCGGATTATTTTGGCTTTACAGTAATTTAGCTCGTAAACGACATCGGTGACCCCTGAATTTTATTTTTAAAAATGATTTATCTTAGTATCATCAATTATTTTGACAATTTAAAAAAATTCTGTGAACACAAAAAAAAAATATGATGAATAATCACCTTTACGTAATTTAAAATATTTTGGCTCAAGAGAATTTTTTTAAAATTGTTAAAATAATTAATTATACTTAGAGAAATCATTTTTTTAAATAAAATTTGGGGGTCACCGATGTCGTTTACGAGTTAAATTACTTTAAAGCCAAAATATCTGCCATCTTGAAACGTTATTGTTGCCATAACACGGCCGTTGCGTAACTTTTGTGCAAAAATTCAAACTCTCTAGATGTTGTTTTATATAAGTAGGGTACTTTTTGTTTATCAACAGCTAATAATTATCCAAAAATACGCATCTAATTCGTGTTTTAAAAACTGTATTGAGCCACCTTAAACAACAAAACGATGAGTAATTCTATTAGTTACTCAGTCAAACTAGCACTTTGTGTGCTATATCTAAACAGAGTCAAAATAAATTATTATTATTATTATTATTATTATAGACCCTCTCATCTTAAGTATTTGCCAATATATTCAATATCTACTGCCTTGACTCGTAGAATGTAGCTTTAATTCCATCATCAAGATGTGGGCCATGTGGCCATGTTTGGATATCATCTTTCCAATATTCATGGCACAGAGGGTTAGGATCGCTCTTAATATCATTACTCATTAGTTTGTAGCCTTTGTTGGTATTCCTTCTTAATAATTCCACCTTTTCCCACTCTGCTTTAAGTAATTTAAGGAAATCCTTGAGGGATGTTACTGTCAGCACAACGAAATCCTTGTATTTAAGCTTCTCTTCACGTTGATTTGTAGCCATATTAAAACAGCCAAGGTTAATGACTATTCGCATTATAATCTCCAATGAGAACATGAAATACAGGGTGTATAAAAAAAACGTAATCGAACTGCAGCGAGCTATTGTATCTGAATTACTATGCGTATGAACGAGATTTTTCACATTCGGAAAGATCATGCTTTTAGCTGTTGAATGATATCTTCGTCATGCCAAATGGATAAAAAATGAGCAAATACGAATCCGATAAAAAATGCTAGTTAGAATTGCATATTTTCACCGTTGAGAGTTGGGTTTAAACCATTGAAAATGAACCCCCTTTGGTACTTAGGTTGATGAATTTCACATCAATAAACGACGCACATAATTATTATTAAGTAGGAATAAATCTTATCTAAGTTACGACACGCTCGTGACTAATTGCTTTTTCTTTCGTTATGCATTGTTTTAATTAGGCACAGAGGCGATAATTAGGCGATTTTGATAACATTTTTGATCGGCCTCGTATGAAAAGCATGTCATTCAATAGCTAAAAGCCTGATCTTTCCGAATATGACAACCAATTGTTCATACGCCGAGTGATTCGCGCATAATAGCGCGCTGAAGTTCGATTACCTTTTTTTTATACACCCTGTATAATCAATTGAAACTCTCAATATCTCTCAAAATATACTCTTTGGTTTCGCTTACATTTATAAGTTTATCTCTTATATCTACTAGCATGTCATATATAGGTGAGATTGACATTGTTATCGGGTTATACACTCTCGCAACTGGACGTCTTTCTTCTTTCCCGACGGCTTTGTTTTCTTGTTTTAAACATGATTCTTTTGAAATGTTGTTTTGTTTAAACAAACATGCAGAGACGTAAAAGCCCTGTTTTCGCGTGCTTTCGTCGTCGTAAATCCAATTTCAACAGCTCGCCGAAAGGTGTCGAAGAAATCAGCATTTTAACAGATTTCTTCAAATCAGATTCCATTGAAATCTTTACCAAAAGTTTGAAAATACATACAGATCAGCCAGAATACAAAAATTTGGACTGTTCTTTAATATAGCACGAGAAAATCAACAAAATGCCCATACAAATTATCGCTCACTTACTAGTAAAATATATGGCAGCCATGGTTGGCCAAGCTCTCGCCCCAATGTCTTTGCACCCGCCCATGTCGTCGTGAGCGGTGAGCGAACTTATGGTTGGTAAATCACGTGGCAGATTCGTAAAATGCGACAAATACCAAGTTTTTCCGACGAGCATTTTCATGTGATGTGAATCACTCATGCACATTTTTGTTAATTCGTCCACGGCTTCCATCGAGGAAACGCAAAGAAATAAGTAGTAAAGGACCCCACTCTGGCGGATTTTATAATGAGCTTCCAGAATCTATGACGTCACATTGCTCCGAGAGTAATTAGTATGCAAAATATGTGACGTAACTTTTGCCAGGTAGCGCGACCAATTAACGCGGGCAGGCTTGGACCAACTGTGACAGGTAGCGCGACCAATTAACGCGGGCAGGTCTGGGCCAACTGTGGCAGGCGATCAATTAGCATCATAGTAACGAGACCAATTAGTGGCACAACACAGTAACGCGACCAAACAAATTATCAGAGATTATAAATATCGTGTATCAAACACACGTTTCATTTCTCACTGTCGCATTTTGGCGAGTGGTCTCTGGTTTTCTCAAGTGTTGCCTGGTTCTGAAGTGTTCTCTGCTTTTGGATTGCGTTGGATCTCTCTCCTCCGCAGAGGCTTTAGTTTTCTTAGGATTAACATTTCGATGAGATACGTTTCACTACACTTTACATGGCGGATCTCGGAACACGAGCGTAACCGCTGGGCGAAGGAGCGCAGGCGGCAAAGGGAAAGGCGAAGGAAGGCGCGAAGCCTCTGCACGATTTGCATCGCAAAGTGGGACAAAGTGGGACAAAGTGTAAACATCGAAACAAAAGGTGATTTTAAGCTAAACAAGAAACGTCTTTTTGAAAATTAAATCATTATTTAATGCATGATTGATTGACCTCATTGACTAGTGCTTGCATGTTTGTGGATGGTCAAAAGTAATATTTTTTAACATTTAATACACAAAGCAAACAATCGTATATTTTACTCACCACTTGGTCAAACATTCTGTATTTCGTATCGAGAAAAACTTGAATATTTCTTGAACTCTTCGGAATTCGCCACCAGTCAAAGAAGTAAAATACTCCTTGTATTCAAGCGCTTTCGTGTAGAAAATTTCTTTTGAATACGGCCAGTAGAAATATTTATTTTTAATTTTTCAAAATATCGGGTTTTTACTCGCACAGTCGCACGCGCCTGTCACACGCTGATGTTCGGGAATTAGTTCACAATCAGACCAGGAATGGAAATACCATAATAAAAGATGAAGTTTTCAAGATACAAGCTCAAAAATAACACTCTAAGTTGTGTTTTGAATTCGCTTTCGAACAAGAGTAATACAAAGAGGATGCGTCCCAAGGAGCCGAAGTTATGTTCGCCGAAAGGTATGCCTAGTTTATATTTATCAAGTGTAAACATTGCGTGATTTGATATTAATATACAAAATCCCGCTTGACTTTCAAAGGTCATAAATCGCTATAGTGTTGACATTTCACTAAAACTATCGATAGAAACTAGGAGATATTTTTGTACTGAATCGAACGGTGGTATTTTCATCTACATAGCGTATATTGAACCAAAGATACGAACCTCCAAATAAATCAGGTCGAAACCGACTGAAGGTCGCGTTTGTTTATAAATATTGCTGAAGTTGAAATAGTTGAATTGTATTTTCAGTCTTGATAATAAATTTAATAATGGTTCTGTATGCTATACATACTCATTTTTTTCTTTTATGCGGTTTTGGGCACATTTCTAAAAATACAAATGTCAAATATAAATTTAAATAAAAGTTTCTTCGCTTCCAACCAAAACCTGTTCGCTAAATACGTTGTTTCCATGCATTGTTTTATACTGTAGATGGAGACCTTGTCTAGAAAAAATGCAGATGTTTTGTCGCAAACTGAACATAACACTTTCTTATTTCGTAGAGCTAGTAAATAATCTCTTTCTCAGCTTGTTGCAGTATTGTAAAGAGATATTTTCTCAGTCATTTTGACTTGAATTTTGCGTTTGATAATTAAACGTCCCCCCCGGTTTACCGCCATATTGGGTGTGGCATCGTGCAGAGGCTTCGCGCTTTCATACGGCCAATTAAAGCCTCTGCGGAGGAGAGAAGCGTTGGATTGTTTTTTAAAATGGCTCATTCGGTAAGTTTGTGTATTTGTTTTGAATATATGTTTACGATAGTTTCAGAGTCATAGGCTGGATAAAATTTGTTTTTGAATATATGTTTACAATAGTTTTAGATTAATATGTTTATGATATTTCTAGATTAATATGGTGGATCTTATCAAAGCTTGTGAAGCTGAAAGTGAACTCGACTTTCTTCAGGAGTCGTTTGTTCTGACTGATGAGCAGAAGGAAGCTGTTCTTCAACAGCGCATTATATTTTGGACGAACGCGATGGCCGAAGATATTGAACGGGAGAATCCGGTTGGAGTTGACCCTGATATGATGGCAAACTGGACCGAGGATCAACGTCGCCTGTTCAACGAAGACTGGGCCAATGATGATGGTTTATGCGAACTCGAACAGATGCCAGAAAACCAAATAGGTGAAGGGAGCAAGCGAAGGCACGCCAGTGATCACGCCCCCTCAAAACGCCAAAGACCAGAGGAGTATTTCACTATTAAATCAGCCAAGCAAGTCAACGTGAGGAAATTCAGGACGACAGGTACACATTAAACTGTTTTTATATTTTTAAGCGTAACATCGGCTACGTGTGGGATATAGATTGTTATGTGCGAGTGAGGTTTCGTTTTTATTAGGCTCCATTTACACTATACCGGATTGCTATCGGAGTGGGTCAAATTTTGTAGGTATCGAAAGGCTGCGAAGATTTTTAATCTCAGAGCCCCAAATAAACATGCCAATTCTGTCAAACTAATAAGCATTTGCTACTAGCCATTGCTCCATAACGGTAAAAGAAGATGTAGTGACCAGCGAATCTGGTATAGTGTAAACAGGGGCTTATAAGAGTTATATTTATTGCTTGTGTGTAAATCTGTAAAGCACAAACATATCCAACGCATACGCTTTTTATAAATTGGCCATAACTTTCAAATGAAGCTTTAGTATTTAATGGGTTTATGATTGGAATTGTAGCTAAAGTATAGCAGTATCCGATAAATAGCCTTGTTTGTACAACCCACGTCCCCCCGTTTTAGGTATTCTTTTTAGGATTATTCTATATTACTGGGTAATCTCTATAATGATTATTGTCGTATGTCCAATGAGTGATAGCTTTAAAGTTTGTTCGTTCACTCCAATCAGATATATAAATAAATTATGTTGTCCGTTAATCTCTCACTGTGGACACACGTTGCAGAATAAAACGCAAGCCAGGCCAAACTTGTGTACACGTTCACAAGCCTATGCAACCACTTGTAGTGAGCCCAAATTTCCAGGCATAGGCCAGGCCCAAAGGCCATGATTATGCCAAAGTCTGTTTACACTGTCAAATTGTAGGCCAATGCTAATGCAAGGCTTGTACTGTAAACACGACTCATGAAATGTTGGGTCCTTTAAGGCTACTTGTTACCAACCATAGTCTTCTGATTGCTATTACTTGGTTAGTACAATAGTGTATTACGGTTTTTAGGTACAGACTATACTGTTCAATTCAATCCGTTGGACGTGCACGGGGTGTCGAACGTCATGTCGACGTTGAACCGCGCATTTCAACACTTATTTGACCGACTCACAAGTGACATGGCTCCTCACGATCAAGTTCGCTTGATCCTCAACTCGAATCAGCTGGACAAATCCATTTCCTTACCTTTCCTACAACGCGATCGTCTAACCCCAGAACGTTTCCTGGCAGCTGTCGAACGCGTCGTGCAGTCCAATGACCAATTTACTTTGGATGACTCTGTCAGCGTCAACGTAGTCCATGTCGAAATGCCTAACGGTGCAGGTAGAAAACGACGTGATGTTGTAAACCTCGAAAGTTTTCTCAGGAAGAAGGACTGTATCGTTCAAATTAAGAACAAAGATGATCTCTGTTGTGCCAGGGCGATAGTGGTGGCCAAAGCAAAGCTGGACAAAGATCCCAAGTACAAGAGTATTATTGATCACCGTGGAAAAGTAGAAGGTCGTTTAGCTCGAGAACTCCACGAGTCAGCGGGTGTTCCTCATGGTTCCTGTGGCATCCCAGAAATCAAACAGTTCCAAGCTGCTCTTTCTGGTTATCAGCTCAACGTGGTCTCTAAAGAACATTTAAACGCTATGATTTATTCCGGTCCTGAATCAGACAAATGTTTATACCTGTACCATCATGACAATCATTACGACGTCATCACCAGTATGCCTGCCTTCCTCGCCCGCAAACAGTATTGCCATAAATGCAAGAAAGGCTACGACAAGATTACCAGCCATCCCTGTGGCGATCTGTGCAAATTATGTAATACCCAAAACTGTCCCATCGTTGAATGGAAATTTTGCAAAGACTGTAACCGTTTCTTTAAAAGTGACGAATGCTTCAACCGCCATAAAGATGACGCTGGTCCTACCAAATCCCTGTGTCGTGCTTTAGTAAAATGCAAAAAATGCAAACGTGTGGTTACTCGTGCCAGTCTTCGTGATCATCATTGTGGCAAAGTGAGATGTTCCACTTGTCAAAAATACGTCAAACCTGAAAACCACCAATGTTATCTCCAACCTGTAAAGGCGAAAAAGACACGATCCACTGAAGAAGGAAACGATTTGCTCGATGATGATGTGGCCGTGGAAAACGACGTAGAAGACACCAAAAACTTAATGTTCTTTGACTTTGAGTGCACGCAAGACGATGGTAAACACGTCCCCAATCTCTGCGTAGTCCAGAACGAAAGCGGTGACGAGAAAGTCTTTTCTGGGCCAAACACGAAAGATGAATTTTGCGAGTGGATGTTTCAGCAGGAAAACGCGAATACGACGTTTGTCGCACATAATTTCCAGGCTTACGACGGGTACTTCATTCTACAATACCTTTACAAGAATGGCGTCACTCCAGAAATCATTACCCGTGGCGCAAAAATCCTTTCGCTCACTGTCCCCGAAATGAACATCAAGTTTATAGACTCTCTCTGTTTCATCCCAATGAAACTCGCCGCCTTCCCGAAAACGTTTGGTCTCACAGAGCTTCAGAAAGGTTACTTTCCTCATTTCTTTAACCGTGCTGAGAACCAAGACTACGTGGGACCAATGCCTGAAGCCAAGTTCTACGATCCTGATGGCATGAGCACTGATGACCGCGAAAAGTTTTATACATGGTACAACGAGCAAGTCGAGCGTCAGTACGAGTTCGACTTTCAAGCCGAAATTCTGCGATACTGTCAATCCGATGTGGACATTTTGCGTCGCTGCTGTCTCGAGTTCCGCGAACTTTTCAGCCAAATCACAGATGTTGACCCTTTTGCCTCTTGTCTCACCATTGCTTCTGCGTGTAATCTCGTCTTCCGTAAAACGTTCCTCCAGGAGAACACCATCGCCGTCATTCCTCCTTGCGGGTACAAGCCTGAAAACAAACAGTCCGTCATCGCCTTGAAGATGCTGGCCTGGGTTGCTCAACGTGATAACATTGCCATTCGTCACGCCCGGAACCACGGAGAACAGCGCATTGACAAGTATCTTGTCGATGGTTTCAACGTTGAGACAAACACTGTTTGGGAAATTCAAGGATGCCTGTGGCATGGATGCGAAAAGTGTTATGCCAGAGATACCGTGAATCCGATCAACCATATGACCATGCAAGATCTTAAGCAGCGAACCCTAGAGAAAATCCAATTCCTAAAGGACAACGGATACAATGTCGTAGAGATTTGGACGTGTGATATTGAGCGCCAACTTGCCACTGAACCCGAGATGAAGGATTTCTTCGACAATTTCGAGATTTCTGAACCTCTTGAACCTCGTCATGCATTCTTTGGTGGAAGGACTAACGCAACACGCCTATGCTACGACGTCCAGCCAGAAGAGAAGATCCGCTATGTGGATTTCTGCAGCCTCTACCCATGGTATGTATCTTGTTGAAGTCTTTTAACTCAGACGTGCTTGTCGTTAACCTTCTTAAGCAATTTTTAGGTGTAACAAATACGGCGAGTATCCAATTGGCCATCCCGAGATTATTACTGAGAACTTTCAACCTATCAGTGACTACTTTGGTTTGGTGAAATGTTCTGTGCTTCCTCCTCGTGCCCTATACCACCCCGTCCTCCCTTACCGTACTCAGGGTAAATTGATGTTCCCGTTATGTCGTACCTGTGCCGACAACCTTCAACAAGAGCCCTGCCATCACAGCGACGCCGAGCGAGCACTTCATGGGACGTGGATGACTTTGGAGCTCGAGAAAGCACTAGAGAAAGGCTACAAACTGGTGAGAATCAACGAAGTTTGGCACTTTCCCGAGCACACAGATGGACTGTTTAAGGACTATATTGATACATTCCTCAAAATCAAACAAAAGGTAAGGTTTTATCATATGTGTGATATTGTCACATCATTAGTTTCTTATTATTCCTTTCTCTTTTGCAGGCGAGTGGCTTTCCTCCGGAATGTGACACCGACGAGAAAAAGGGGCAGTACATCGCTGACTACGCTGCAAAAGAAAGTATTCAGTTGGATCCAAGACAGATTGTGAAGAATCCTGGTCTGAGGGCGTTGGCGAAGCTCATGTTGAACTCTTTTTGGGGTAAGTGCAACGGCAAATTGTCCACTAACGGTACTTGTTTTTCTTAGGGAAAAAACAAGTGTTTGTTAAAAACCGATCATTTCTTGTAGGAAAGTTTGCGCAACGACCCAATATGACCAAGGTCAAAATTATATCGGATCCAGCTGAATATTTTGACCTCCTCTCCAGCGACCAGATGAACGTCACCGACGCGAACTTCATTAACGACGAGCTCATCGAAGTCCATTTTGAAAACGTTGACGAATTCGTGGAAGCCGATGGAAAGACAAATGTGGTCATCGCAGCGTTCACCACAGCCCACGCCCGCCTCAAGCTCTATGGTGTCCTGGAGCAGTTAAATCGCCGAGTCTTATATTTTGACACAGATTCAGTTATCTACGTTTCAAAGGAAGACGAATGGGAGCCGCCGACGGGATCCTATCTTGGTCAACTAACGGATGAGTTGGATGGAGGTTACATTACAACCTTTGTGTCTGGAGGTCCTAAAAACTATGCCTACGAGACAAGCACAGACAAAACAATATGCGAAGTTAGAGGGATCACCTTAAACTACAGAACTGCGCAAAAGGTTAATTTTAATTTAATGTGTGATATGGTTTGTTTAGAAGCGTTGTCTGATCTCACAGACAGCATAACTGTAAATATACCCTATAAAATAAATAGAGACACTAAAGAGAAAAGTGTAAAGACGAGGAGTGAGAACAAGGACTATCGTATTGTATATAATAAGCGTGTGATTGTAAATAATTTTGATACATTACCTTATGGTTTTTAAATTAATAAATAATTTCAAACATTAAAGTTATGTGTGTAATGGTACAACTGCGGGGATTTTGGGGGATTTTCTCTCTAGAGGAACATTCGTCTTTATTAGGGATTAATATCGGTCATTATGTCCCCATGGGGACATTCATCTGTGCCGGGGACATCCGGGGACAAAAATTAGTCCCCGGAGGGACGTCCTAAAGGGACAATCGGCTATAATAGGGACTAATGCTGGTAGTTATGGCCCCATGGGGACATTCGTCTATACCGGGGACATCCGGGGACAAAAATTAGTCCCCAAAGGGACTATTTAGGTAGTTGTATGCTTGGAAACATTCATTTGATAGCATGCCTCGAACACGTAAGGTCTGTCCCATGTGCGGAAAGAAAGGTTTATTAAAGTTATCTAATCATTTAACCAATGTTCATAAACTATCTACTCAAGAGAGACAACCATACCTTATTCGTGCTAGGAAAATGCCTATTGATAAAGCAACGGTATTGATCGAGTTGCAAAAGATAAATAGACTGATTGAAAAGTATCTGCTTTCATTTTCATCATGTACTCCATACAGTTAAGACACCCGTTTGGGCTTCTCGTTTCTGGCGGTACAAAATCAGGCAAAACCACTTTTGTGAAAAAGCTTCTCAGCTATGCCAATGTGCTGATTGATCCAACGCCTGAAAACATCATTTACTTCTATGCCGAATATCAAGACGCGTTTGGAGAAATACAAAATTTAGTGCCTGGTATAAAATTCATACAAGGCTTGCCGGATAATATAATGGATAGTATCAATCCAGAAACACGCAATTTGTTCATTATTGACGATATGATGGGTGAGAAAGACGGAGTGCTTTCTAAATTGTTCACGAAAAAATCGCACCATGGTAATCTAAGCGTAATCTATATTGTGCAAAACTTGTTTCACCAGAGCAAAGAGCATCGCACAATATCTCTCAATGCAAGTTATTTATGTTTAACGAAAAATGTTCGCGATGCAAGTCAAATTACTCATCTCGCTAAACAGTTATACCCGAATCAAACGAAGTTTTTCCAACAAGCTTATCAATTGGCAACGAAAGAACCTTATTCTTATCTATTTGTCGACTTAACTCCTACATGTCCTGACGAGATACGGATTCGATCCGGGATCTTTCCAACCGACACGCATTATGTCTATCAACCCAGAGTATAAAAATGTGGGAACGTGTGTAAAATGTTCATTTGATCATGTCTGCTTGTATGAAGAGGAACTCCGAACTTCTGAAAGTATTGGCCAAGTGCAAACCCGAACTGAGGAAAGCTATTTTGAAAGCGGCTGAAGACGATTTATTTGAAGCGATAAGACAGTGCCTATTAAACGTTTGGTTTGAAACGGTTAAACTGAAACCGAAAACAGCTAAAAAACTTACACCGCATTCCAAGCATATAAAGTTTGCGGCTGACAAAAGAAATCCTATCGTAAAAAGAAGAACACGTCTAGTCCAAAAAGGGGAGGGTTTCTTACCGTTTCTACTCACTTCAGTTTTGG